ATTGACATGACCCATTCCATTAGCTTAGCACCCGATTGTTTAGTATGTTGCTATTGCTTTCTTCATGACTTATACATGTTCCTATGACTATGAGATTATGCAACTCCCGTTTGCCGGAGGAACACTTTGTGTGCTACCAAACATCACAACGTAACTGGGTGATTATAAAGGAGCTCTACAGGTGTCTCCAAAGGTAGATGTTGGGTTGGCGTATTTCGAGAATAGGATTTGTCACTCTGATTGTCGGAGAGGTATCTCTGGGCCCTCTCGGTAATGCACATCACATAAGCCTTGCAAGCATTACAACTAATGAGTTAGTTGCAAGATGATGTATTACGGAACGAGTAAAGAGACTTGCCGGTAACGAGATTGCACTAGGTATTGGATACCGACGATCGAATCTCGGGTAAGTAACATACCGATGATAAAGGGAACAACGTATGTTGTTATGCGGTCTGACTGATAAAGATCTTCTTAGAATATGTAGGAGCCAATATGGGCATCCAGGTCCCGCTATTGGTTATTGACCGGAGATGTGTCTCAGTCACGTCTACATTGTTCTTGAACCGTAGGGTCCGCACGCTTAACGTTACGATGACAGTTATTATGAGTTTATGCATTTTGATGTACCGAAGTTAGTTCGGAGTCCCGGATGTGATCACGGACATGACGAGGAGTCTCAAAATGATCGAGACGTAAAGATTGATATATTGGATGACTATATTCGGACACCGGAAACGTTCCGGAGAAGTTTCGGATAAAACCGGATCACCGGGGGGGTTACCGGAACCCCCCGGGGGGTTAATGGGCCTTATGGGCCTAAAGTGGAGAAGTGGAAGGGGCTGCCAGGGCAGGCCGCGCGCCCCCTCTCCCCCTGGTCTGAATTGGACTAGGAGGGAGGGGCGGCGCCCCCCTCTTTCCCTCTCTTCTCCACCAATCCTACTTGGACTAGGAAAAGGGGGGGGGGAGTCCTACTCCCGGTAGGAGTAGGACTCCTCCTGCGCCACCATAGGGCCGGCCGAACCCCTCCCCCTTGGATCCTTTATATACGGAGGCAAGGGGGCACCTCTAGACACACAAGTTGATCCACGTGATCGTTCCATAGCCGTGTGCGGTGCCCCCTGCCACCATATTCCACCTCGATCATATCGTTGTAGTGCTTAGGCGAAGCCCTGCGTCGGTAGTACATCATCATCGTCACCACGCCGTTGTGCTGACGGAACTCATCCCCGAAGCTTTGCTGGATCGGAGCCCGGGGAGCGTCATCGAGCTGTACGTGTGCTAAGAACTCGGAGGTGCCGGAGTAACGGTGCTTGGATCGGTCGGATCGGGAAGACGTACGACTACTTCCTCTACGTTGCGTCAACGCTTCCGTTGCGATCTACGAGGGTACGTAGATAACACTCTCCCCTCTCGTTGCTATGCATCACCATGATCTTGCGTGTGCGTAGGAAATTTTTTGAAATTACTGCGTTCCCCAACAGCCCCATATCTGTCCAAATTTGGACTGCATATGAGGGGTGACGGTTAGCCCGAGCGTTTGAAGCCGGTTTGAGGCGTCTGGGTGGTCGGGTTTTTTTGATCAGTCAGTGACCGGGACGACCGCACGGGCGTTTGAGACCAGTTTGAGGCGCTCAGCTATAGATGCTCTTAACTAGTTGTACATGCTTTGTTGCATATCTGTTGTGCTCTACCCGTTTGGTCTTTTTCTTTTGTTCTAGTAACTAGCTCAATGGCCTTCACAAACGCAAGAGCCTCATCTTCAATATGTTCAAAGTGACCGATAGATAAACATATGGTCTCAGGTAGGTTCATAGTACACATAATGTATTTTCTTGTGCTATATTAGTGTGTTTATGTAGAATTATGACATTTTGATGTGTATATTTATCTATTTTCACTTTTATTTCCTTTCCCCTGTTTTCATACACCTTTGTTGCACTTTTTATTTTTGGAAAATACACAAATGAACAGTCTAAAATACCAAATTAACATACCAAAAATTATAGAATTGAAAATTCAAATTAATATAGCACAATAAAATACATTAGTTGTACTTCTATCACAAATCAACTGGCAAGAATACCATTCATTGGGAATGACAAGTAACAGGATGTGCCATGGTGACTTATGTTTTTTATATTTGATTTCCAAATGCTACTTATGCATATCTTCTATCATCAGTAGTTTTTAAAAATTAAAATGGTTTGTAGCACTTCACCTCCTGTTAAAGGAATTTGCTTGCTCATTCTTGTCAATGAGCTCATCACGTAATTCAAAAGCCACATTGAAATGATTTTTCAAGTTCCACCAGTCGACCACACAACTATTGTTGCACGCTCGCTAGCCAGAACAACAAAAAATTGTAAAACAATCAAACAGAAAAAGAAAGAAAAAAAGAAAAATCTGCATCAATCTTCATGTAAAATCATACCGTGTTATTGAGTGAGATCTAGTTATTAGAATTGGCAAAACCGAATTTATTATTCTGGTGGCTAGTCTTAGTAGATGACCAGTACACGCTCCATGTGAAAAGCCAGGACACGCCTTAATTTTCGGACGAGCAAATTGAATACAAATTGAAACGTACTTTATGCTTATCTCTGGTCAAGAGGATTGTGGGATTGAACTGTTTCCAAATCCAAATAGAACATGTTCATTAAATTGTTGATCCAACCGGGCGACCATTTATATAAATGATGTGGATTCACGTGTGCCTTGGCCCAACTAGGCGACTGCATCATTCCCGCCGCACAGGTGTTGGGCCGGCCCAAGAGTTCACATATTTTTAAAAAGTTCATCACTTCTGAAAAGAAAATGTTCAGAAATTTGAAAGAAAAGTTCAAGAGAGCTTGTGGATTTAAAAAAAGAAACCACGGATTTGAAAAAAGCTCACGATTTTGAAAATAAAGTTCATGAATTTAACAAAATGTTGATGAATTTGAAAAGTTTATAGATTTCAGAAAAAACATGATTTAAAATAGTTTTTGAATTTTAAAAAATAAAATAAAAAGGAAATAGAAAAATAAAAAATAAAAAACAGAAGAAAAGTCAACAAATAGAAAAACAAGCTCATGTCGGTTATTGTTATTACAATAATCCTACACCTACGAAGGACTACGAAGAGGCTACATAAACCAGGGAACAGATCTGGTGCACCGGGGCAAATAATGCAATCAGTGCACTGGACCAAGTTGCGCATTACAAAATTGTTCGAAAGTATTCGGAAAAAAATTAGTGTATTGACACAACATCATGTATGTTGTCACAAAAATTCAACTCAAAATTCAAAACATTGCCCGAGATACAAGAATGACAAATTTAACATCAATGTGCTAATGGGCCAAAACTGAAACCCAACACGTGTTTTGCACTATTCAGTGTCAAATTTGTGTATCTCGAGCAATTTTGGAGTTTTGATTTGAATTTTTGTGTCGATATACATTGGTGTTGTTCCAATGCACTAAAAAAATCCTGTTTTTTTCAAATATTTTTTAACGTGCAATGGGGGACCGGTGCAAAGGTAGCACCAATTGCCCTGGTGCACCAAATACATCCCCGTGTAAACCATCCTTCCATAATCCCTCCCCCCGATTTTCAATGGGGTGGGCCGTGCCTCCTCTTAACACCAATCAAATGTCTAATCACGTGACATTATGTTAACTTTTTTCGTAAGTGCACCATTACTCGTGTTATTATACTACCTCCTTCCGAGTTTGTTGGACCCGCTGGGAGAAGCGCAGGTGCCATGAGAAAAGGAATATACTAACGACGTACTATGATTTAACCTAACGGTGTGTGACTCGACTGTGAAAAAGGCCAACCGAAGTACCTGCAGTTAGTACCATGTCATCTACAGCCCAGCTTATAACCAACATGTACAATAGTAGACCAAAAGAATGTACAACTTTTTTATTATGAGCTCACTTAAATGTTCTCTCCTTTTCTCTTTCCTCCAACTAAGCAGGAATATACTAGTTTATTCCTTATAGCCTGCTGACTCAGCTTTATTGTACTTGCTCTTATGGCGTGCAGCCGGTGGCCAGGCTTTGCTTTTGCATGCGGCCAATCATGGCGCACGTGGACAGCCGGCATGAGTTTTTGTCTGGGGCTCGTTGCCTACTTAGTTTTTGTATGCAACTAATAACGCAAGCATCATCCTGCGCGCATGCAGCAAAAGGGAATCGAAAAAGAAAATTAAATGCATACATCCAGCGGCCTCAAATAATAGTTTGCTCATGAGACCAATAATCCTAGACAAAGGTAGTATCTAGTAAAAAAGAAAAAGAAGGTAACAAGACACAACAAGAAACTAATCCAGTTGGTTACTTAGCTTGTACTACTAAGCGTATAGGGTGATGGGTTGGAATCTTGTTGGCACTTTTTTTTAAGGTTTTACAAAAGAGGGGAAAAACTGGAAAATGGGCTGGCTAAGTGCAGTGCGTACACGTGTCGCGTATCACATTTCAAGAAAAAAAGACCATCCTACTCTTTATTATAAAGAGGTATGGAAATATCTTATTCATTGATGTGTTTAGAAGGTATACCCAAGCAGAAGTGTAATTCTTTACTTGCTAGAACCCTGCCGAGCTAGTTGACCATGCACTAACAAATATAAGAAAGAACTATTAATGAACTTCCTTTTCTGAACCATGCAAAAGCGAATTGTATTATAAAAGAGTGCAAAGTCTTAGAGATACAACAAACTGAACGACCAAACAAACAAACATTAGAGCGAGATGATAGAGGTCTAAACAAACAGATCTTCAAGACATAAGGCCCCGGCCTTAAACTAATTAAACGACTCCTGGATTTGATGAGGTCTAACAAGCGGTCAAGCGACGAGAACTGAACTTCAAAACTTCTGTTGTTGCGCTCCTTCCATAAGAGCCAAGCGACCAAGAACTGAATGAACTTCTCCTATCAACAACTAATTAAACGACTGATAGCATTGACTCAACAACAAGACTGAAGCTTATAAGGCTCTAACAGAGTAATGCTCAGATCCTGCGGAGAGTCAGGTCTACCGTGTTGGTGATCTCCTCCTCTTCTTGCTTCGCTTCATCAACGCTATGATCGCCGCCATTGCCACCACCCCACTGGATCGCGGCCATCGACGGCGCGCGAGGGGAGGCCACCGGGATGGGGACCCTGGGCGACGCGCCAAAGCCGTAGGCCTCCGCCCGCGGGTACGTCGGGCGGTCAGTGCCGGCGTGACGGGTGAGACCGGCGAGGGACGGCTGGGCCGCCGTGCCCCACCCGGGAGGGTTGTGGTGCATGTGCATCCCGTAGAACGGCGCCGCGACGCTGAGGAACGACCTGCCGGTGGTGGAGTAGGGCCAGACGTTGGGGAAGCGAAGGTGGTGCGGCACGAGTGCGCCGCCATGGCCGGCGCCCCGCCCCGCAGCGACGCCCTTGGCGACGGAGCGCCCGCGCTTGTGCGCGTTCTGGTGGCCGCTCAGCGCCTGCGACGTGTAGAACTTGCGCGGGCAGTAGTTGCACTTGAACACGCGGCGCTTCTCGCCGCCGGCGGCTGCTGCCACCGACGACGGCCCCGCCTCCTCACTGGACTTGGCCTTTCCCTTCTCCGCCTCCGCCACGGCGGTCTCCTCAGCGCCGACGGCGGTCTCCTCAGCCTCAGCGCCGAGACCGCCGAGGAGGTTTAGCTCCAGGGCCGGTGCCGGCTGCACCTCCTCATTGCCGACTTGCACCACGTCCATTGACGCGGTTTGGTTTTTGTGTATCTTGGCACACGAGTTGAGTACTTCTTGGATGGGATCTGTGCGTGCCTACTTATACAAGGCCGGAGATGCATGATCTGAGAGGAATGCAAGTTCACTTGCCAAATTAGAAGATCGCATGAGATCACAGCAGGCTGGCTGGGTTTAATGTGGTCGAGATCACGAACTTAATTCGTAGTAATCTTGGCACGTCTCAATCCTCTCTCTCACTCTTCCCTGGACGCGTCCATGCACACTCAATGCTTTCCATAATTGGAGTAGATTTAACGTTTCGAGTTTTCAACTTATGTGGTCATGTAGGTTCTGATCAGATGCCTAATGGCGGACTGGAACTCATTATTTCCCCTTTTCAGTTTTACGAGGATCGGTAGGAATTTATTGGCTACTTAATTGACATGGATATGGAGAAGGATTTGGTATATCGTATCAAAAAGTCACTTTGGAACCCAGGTGCATTGGAGCCCTATTTTTTGAACTGTGCCAAAATGCTTTTTTGAAGTTTTAAAAAATTCTGAAAACAAATCAACATGTTTATATGAATGTATATTACACATGTGCAAATTTTGATGCTGAAATAAGTAACCATGTGAGTTACACAAAAATGACAAAATCGTGGTTTTGGAAAGATGAACAGTGCATGCATTATTCACTATTTGGAAATCACCATTTTGTCATTTTTATATAGGTCGCCTATTTACTTATTTCACAGCAAACTTTACACATGTGTAATATACATCCATATGATCACGTAGAATTTTTTTCAGAATTTTTTGAAACATTAAATGTGATTTTCAAAGTATTTAAAATAAGGTACTCCAATACACCCGGGTTCCAAAAATCCACTCGTCTATATGGTATATGCTATAATTGGCACCAAGGTATCCCAGAGAAAATTTTTGGGTCCCATAATTTAATTTTTCTTCACCTATACACCTAGGTTTTGACTAATCAGCATCCTGCTTAACTAGTTGTTACATGCTTTGCTGCATATCATGGATCACTATGCTTGGTGTGCTCGACACTTTTGGTCTCTATTTTTACCATGCCAGTAACTAGCCCAGTGGCCTTCGCAAATGTGAGAGCATCATCTTCAGTATGCTCAAACTGATGGATGGATAAACATATGGTCTCAGGGAGGTTCATATTACACGGAATGTATTTTCTTGTGCTATATTAGTGTGTTTAGGTAGAATTATGTCACTTTGTTGTTTATTTATCTATTTCACTTTTGTTTTCCCCTTTTTTCCTGTTTTCCTGCACCTTGCTGTTGCACTTTTATTTGTGGAAAATATGCAAATGAAGGGTCTAAAACAACAAATTAGAGGAAAATTTGGCAAAAGGTATGGTCTCAGGGAGATTCATATCATATTACATGGAATGCATTTTCATGTGCTATATTAATCTGTTTAGGTAGAATTATGACATTTTGTTGTTTATTTGTCCTTTGCACTTTTATTTTCAGCTTGTTTTTCCTATTTTTTCTGTTTTCCTACACATTTTTTATTGCACCTTTTAGTAGCTTGAAAATATGCAAATGAAGGGTCTAAAACAACAAATTAACATACCAAAAACTATAGAACCGAAAATTTAAATTAATATATTGCAAGAAAATACATTAGTCATACTTCTATTATAATGGCAGACTCGAACTTATTATTTCACCCTTTTCAGTTTTAAGAGGATCGGTACAAATTTATTGGGTACTTAATTGGCATGGATATGGAGAAGGATTTGGTATGCTATAATTGGCACCAAGGAATCCCGAGAGAAAATTTTCGGGTCCCATATGTTTGAATGCATCAATTTAATTTTTCTCCACATATATTCATAAGTTTTGACTAATCGGCATGCCGCTTAAGCATCTACTGCCATAGACACCAAATTCGGGCCCTCAAACGCCCACGAACGCGCCCGAATGCGTATGTGGGCATTGGCAGCCCTCAAATTTTGTTCTGTACATACGAATACCTCATACGTAAAACATTAAACCCATACAAAGCATGCAAAAGAGAAAAACCTACACACTACATACATCAACTAAAACCTACACTACCGTACTCCTTCTCGGAGTTGTCCACGATCTCCGTGCCCGGCTTCTGGTACATGGGCGGCAGCCGTACCTCCGGCCCCTGCAACTCCTCCGCGTCGGCCTCCGCCTCCTCCTCCGTGTCCAGTTCGGTGAAAAGTGCATCGGTCGCCGCCCGTTCTTGCCGAATGAATCACCAGTTGGCCTGGACATACGCCTCATCCTGGATGGACTCCAGGATAGCAGTCTGCTACGCCATCTCCGCCGCTTGGGTGACCTCAAACTCTGCCATGGTGTCCTCCATGGCAAAGCCCGCAGCCGGCTTCGGCTCCTACTCCTCCTCCCCCTCCTCCCACTCCATGGGCTCTGGCTGCTGCTCCAGCGAATCCCGGAGGCAGACCCGTTGTGATCCAGGCGACGTGCCTAACACAGATCTCTTTGAGCATCTGGAAGCCCCACTTCGGTGTTGGCATAGCATAGGTGGTCTTCTTATGCCAGGCCATGGCGGAGGCGCACAGCGAGGGAAGAGGGAGAGAAGTGGATGGGCTCGTATTGGCAGCATGGGGAGGGAGGAAGCGGATGTGGCTAGGGCTGGGGGGCGTTGTACGGCTTAAATAGCAAGACCTTGGCCCTCGGGCGGCGAGCCGAATCGGTGCCATGTGGCGCTAACACCCCCACCAAAGGAAACGACCCTCGGTCCGTTGGATTTATGGGCGATTATGGGTGGGACCCTGTCGTCCGTCCAATGTGGTGAACGCGTCCAGACTGCCCCATATCTGTCCAAATTTGGGTTGCATATGAGGGTGACGGTTAGCCCGAGCGTTTGAAGCCGGTTTGAGGCGCCTGGGTGGTCGGGTTTTTTTGACCGGTCAGTGGCTGATACGTCTCCAACGTATATATAATTTTTGATTGCTCCATGCTATATTATCGTCTGTTTTGGACATTATTGGGCTTTATTATCCACTTTTATATTATTTTTGGGACTAACCTATTGACCCAGAGCCCAGTGCCAGTTTTTGTTTTTTCCTTGTTTTAGAGTATCGTAGAAAAGGAAAATCAAACGGAGTCCAATTGACCTGAAACTTCACGGAACTTATTTTTGGAAGGAAAGCAACTCGGGAGACTTGGAGTGCACGTAAGGGAAGCAACGAGGAAGCCACAAGGCAGGGGGCGCGCCCACCCCCCTGGGCGCGCCCTCCACCCTCGTGGGCCCCTCATAGCCCCACTGACGTACTTCTTCCGCCTATATATCTCCATATACCCTAAAACGACCAGGGAGCACAATAGATCGGGAGTTCCGCCGCCAGAAGCCTCCATAGCCACCGAAAACCAATCTAGACCCGTTCCGGCACCCTGCCGGAGGGGGAATCCCTCTCCGGTGGCCATCTTCATCATCCCGGTGCTCTCCATGACGAGGAGGGAGTAGTTCTCCCTCGGGGCTGAGGGTATGTACCAGTAGCTATGTGTTTGATCTCTCTCTCTCTCTTTCGTGTTCTTGAGGTGATACGATCTTGATGTATCGCGAGCTTTGCTATGATAGTTGGATCTTATGATATTTCTCCCCCTCTACTCTCTTGTAATGGATTGAGTTTTTCCCCTTGAAGTAATCTTATCGGATTGAGTCTTTAAAGATTTGAGAACACTTGATGTATGTCTTGCCGTGCGTATCTGTGGTGACAATGGGATATCACGTGATTCACTTGATGTATGTTTTGATGATCAACTTGCGGGTTCCGCCCATGAACCTATGCATAGGGGTTGGCACACGTTTTCGTCATGATTCTTCAGTAGAAACTTTGGGGCACTCTTTGAGGTTCTATGTGTTGGTTGAATAGATGAACCTGAGATTGTGTGACGCATATCGTATAATCATACCCACGGATACTTGAGGTGACATTGGAGTATCTAGGTGACATTAGGGTTTTGGTTGATTTGTGTCTTAAGGTGTTATTCTAGTACGAACTCTAGGGCTGTTTGTAACATTTATAGGAATAGCCCAACGGATTGATTGGAAAGAATAACTTTGAGGTGGTTTCGTACCCTACCAGAATCTCTTCGTTCGTTCTCCGCTACTAGTGACTTTGGAGTGACTCTTTGTTGCATGTTGAGGGATAGCTATGTGATTCAATTATGTTATTATTGTTGAGAGAACTTGCACTACTGAAAGTATGAACCCTAGGCCTTCTTTCCTAGCATTGCAATACCGTTTGTGCTCACTTTTATCATTATTTACCTTGTTGTTTTTATATTTTCAGATTACAAAAACCTTTATCTACTATCCATATACCACTTGTATCACCATCTCTTCGCCGAACTAGTGCACCTATACAATTTACCATTGTATTGGGTGTGTTGGGGACACAAGAGACTCTTTGTTATTTGGTTGCAGGGTTGCTTGAGAGAGACCATCTTCATCCTACGCCTCCTACGGAATGATAAACCTTAGGTCATCCACTTGAGGGAAATTTGCTACTGTCCTACAAACCTCTGCATTTGGAGGCCCAACAACGTCTACAAGAAGAAGGTTGTGTAGTAGACATCAAGCTCTTTTCTGGCGCCGTTACCGGGAAGGTGAGTGCTTGAAGGTATATCTTTAGATCTTGCAATCAAGTCCTTTAGTTTCTTGTTTTATCACTAGTCTAGTTTATAAAACAAAATTACAAAAAAAAATATTGAATTGAGTTTGTCTTATACGCTTCATCTTTTTAATATCTTTCGTGAGTATGATGGAAATGAAAATTGTGCCAAAGTGTTAGAAGAAGAATGCATTAAAATGTTAGGCACTAAATATTTGAATGATGAGCATGATTGCAATGTTGTTAGTATGAATTCCTTGAATATCCATCATGCTAATGATATGCAAAGCCACAAGCTTGGGGAAGCTATGTTTGATGAAGATGATATTTTTTGTCCCCCAAGTTTTGATGAGCAAATTTATTATGATGAAAGCATG